TTTTTCCCCACATTTTCTTTATTCATCTTTAGTTGACCACCAAGGCTCATTGTATAATTTGGCTCTGTGAGTAGAGCTGCAATAAACTTAGACGTGCAAGTGTCTCTGTAGTACATTTACTATGCCTTTGGGCATAGACCTAGGAGTCATGTAGCTAGGTCATATGGTAGTTGTTTTTAGATTTTAGGAACCCCCGTACTGATTTGCATATGGACTGAACTAATTCACATTCCTACCAGCACTATGCAAGGCCCCCTTTCCTGACGTCCCTACTGGCATTTGCTTGTTTTCTTAATGATAGTCATTCTGACTGGATGAGATGGAATCTCAATGTAGTTCTAATTTGCTGTTTGTTTTTGGTCATGGTTCTAAAGGCCATAGTGTCTGAGAAGGGTTTAAAAATTAGAGAAAGAAGCCAGGTGTGGTGGCACACTCCTTTAATCCTAGGAGGCAACAGCAGGCATATCTCTGTGAAATGGAGGCCAGCCTGATCTACATGGCCAGTTCCAGACCAGCTGGGGCTCCAGGGAGGCCCTATCTCAAAAAACAAAAACACACCAAAGAAAAGGGCTCCTGATACAGAAAAATCTCTAAATTGACAGGAGGATGTTGGCTCTAGAAACAGATTGAACAGTTCTTTTTGAACAGGAATCGTTCTTTGTGGTTAGTATGTAGAAGTTTAAGATGCAGATAAATCCTGCCAACGGCCTCTGCTTCCTCTCAGAAATAGAAGGGGCTAATGAGTACAGAAGGAGGGGGCAGTGTTGGGGAGAAGGAACCATTTTGATGACAATTCTAAAGGAGTAGCTGGGTGGGATGTCATGTTTTGATGTGGTACCAGCCTGTACAATTTTCTTCCTTAGGGTACCAGTATAGAGGATGTGATCTTCGTTGAGGTTTCGAGGTAAAAAGCAGGAAAAACTGAAGGAAGAGGGCCAGTGATCTGACAGGATGGAGCAGACAGACCTGGAGAGAGCAGAGGGTGGAGACCTGGCAGGCCCAGTGAGGTCAGAGAGCAGCAGAAAGAGGGTGGAAGGAAGCTAAAGGGATATCGTACTGTGGGATGTGGCAATTTGGAATTGCAAAGATAAATTCATTCCAACTGAAGCCAAGGGCCAGTGTATAGACAGCTGCAGGTGAGTGGAATAGAGATGAGGGTTACAGAGCTGAGTGGTCAGGAAGCAGGAGTCATGGAGAGCAGGTCTGCGAACATTTTCTGCAGTGGTCAGCTAGGAAATAGTTAAACTTGTGGGACCTTGGTTTGTCACCGCTGTTTGGCTTTGCTGTAGTACCATGAAAGCAGCCACAGACAGAATTCAAAATGAACAGGCGTGGCTATACTCCAGCAATACTTTATTAACAGAAAATAAGTCTGGGTTGGATTTGGTCTACAGGTTAGAAGAAATTTGCCAGTTTCAGAGCTAGAGCCTTGGTGTTAGTGTTACCAGAAAGCTTGTTCTCAATGCAGGCTCAGGCTCCACCACAGACCTGTTTTAACAAAACTCCCTGAGGCTTTTTTTGTATGTGCCAGAGGTATACTGAAGCGTCTCGGGACAATAACAGAAAGTCAATGAAATAGCTGCCAAAATCTGTAGTGAAGGGAAGAGTATTTGATGTGGAGGAAGAAGGGCAGCTGACATGGGTTTTGGATAGAAGGGCTAAAGAGCCAGGCATGGTGGCACACACCTTTAATCCCAGCACTCGGGAGGCAGAGGCAGGCAGATCTCTGAGTTCAAGGCCAGCCTGGTCTACATAGTGAGTTCCAGGACAGCTGGGGCTACAGGGAGACCCTGTCTCAAAAAGACCAAAATAAACAGCTAACAAGAGAAAGGATGGGGCATAGTAGTAGTCTGTCCTGGGAGAACAGTGGCCCACTTCTGGGATATGGAGCAGCCGTCTTCCTCTCCTGCTTTTCCATTCCTGTTCCTCTGGTGGAATGGGGTCCTCACTTGCTCACTTTCCCCAGGTGGGAGGAGTTTACTCTTATGACTGCAGTTTTGGCCATGTGCCCAATGTGGAATTGATGAAGTTCATTGCAATGGCGACATTTGGCTCCTACCTGTCCACTTGTCCTGAGCCTGAGCCTGGCAACCTGGGTCTGACAGTCTACCACCGGGCATTTTTGCTCTACTCCTTCCTGCGCAGTGGGGAAGCGCTGAACCCTGAGTACTACTGTGGTGAGAGGCTGGCCGGGTGGGTGTGGGAGGAGAATGCAGAATGGCCTCAGAGACAGTTATAGCTATGGAGGCTTTGGGAGGACCGGCAGGCTGACTGGGCTGGACTCTCTAGCACTTTCTCTCATGTGATTTCAGCACAGCTCCTTCCCCTATATATCCATCAGCTGACCTGTACTCACTTTCCCCCTCCCTGGCTTCATGGCTCCTCCAGGCTCTCAGCACCGCCTGTTTAATGAGCACCTGGTCTCTGCAAGCAGCAACCCTGCCTTGGCCTTACGCAGGAAGAAGCATACTGAGAAAGAAGTGCCAGCTGACTTGGTCAGCACTGTATCTGTGCGCCTTCGAGAGGGCTACAGTGTCCGAGAGGTTACACTGGCCAAAGGTAAGGGTCACCAGGTCCTGCTTCAGTTTCACAGATCTGATAATTTTTGTGTGTGCATACCTGCCAAATAAATGGAAGAACACACCTACCACACATTTAAAAGGGGCTGGAGAGATGGCTCTGGTTAAGCACACTGGTTGCTCTTTCAGAGGACCCCAGTTCAGTTCTCAGCATCTACATGGCAGCTAAGAACCACCATAACTTGTTCCAGGGCTCTGACACCCTCTTATGGCCTTTGTGGGCACTGGTGCACTTACAAACATGCAGGCAAAACATTCAGACGTAAAATAAAAATGAAAGCCGAGCGTGGTGGCGCACGCCTTTAATCCCAGCACTCAGGAGTCAGAGGCAGGCGGATTTTTGTGAATTCAAGGCCAGCCTGGTCTAGATAGTGAGTTCCAGGACAGCTGGGACTACGGGGAGACCCTGTCTCAAAAAGACAAAAAAAATAAAAATTAAAATTAAAGGAGTGTCCCCATGAGAGACTGCTTGTCATTTGAGACAAGTGGGCTTTTGGGTGCTTTCAAGCTGAGTTCTCCTAGCATGTAGTTCTCAATCCCATCTCCTGCCCAAGGCAAATGAAATGGTCTTGGGGGAGGGGGATGTTCTGAACTTGACTTTGTTTTCATATTACTCTGTTTGTGGGCAGACTGTGGTTTTAAAATGTATGGGACTGTGCTAGAATTCTGTATGACAGCCAAGGGTTTGAATAGGACTCAGGCCTGGAGTCCTGTGTCCTCTCACTCACCCTCCTGCTCCCCTGAAGGAGGGTCACAGTTGGAGGTGAAACTGGTACTGCTGTGGAAACACAACATGCGCATTGAATATGTGGCTGTGGCACCCTGGCCCTTGGAGCCTGAGGGCCCTCGAGCAACACGGGTAGAAGTGACAATGGAAGGGGGCTATGACATTTTGCACGATGTGTCCTGTGCACTAAGGCAACCTATCCGCTCGCTGTATCGTACCCATGTTATCCGCCGTTTCTGGAATACACTGCAGAGGTGAGTGAGGTTACTACTTGGTGAGCAATGCCCCATTTGTGTGGAGGGACAGAGTTGTGAAGCTGGGAGCTGGGGGGAGCCACCCAGTGCACCAGGGTCAAGTCCAGGGTTTTTGGTCCCCCTGAGGTTCCCCTCATCTCCCCCCAGCACAGTCAGCTGTGGCTCAGGCTTGGCCCTTCTTCTGCAGCATTAATCAGACGGATCAGATGCTAGCTCATCTTCAGTCCTTCTCTTCAGTGCCAGAGCATTTCACACTTCCAGACAGCACCAAGAGTGGAGTGCCACTCTTCTACATCCCTCCTGGCTCCACCACCCCGGTGAGTGCCCCCAATACTGCAGCCCCTTCCACGCCTGCTTGGACTGGAGTCAGCACAACTGCAATTCAGAACTGCTACTATTCCCTCTTCTCAAATGAGGCACCCAATCAAAAGCCTCAACTTTGGCCTTGAAAGCATCTCTCTCCCTCCTGAGACCTAAGGCCCTGGGGAGACGTATTAATTTAAGAAAAAAGGCGGGGGGGCTGGAGAGATGGCTCAGCGGTTAAGAGCACTGACTGCTCTTGCAGAGGACCCGGGTTCGATTCCCAGCACTCACATGGCGGCTACAAACCGCTGTTCTTTCTGTCCCCAGGTGCTCTCCCTTCAGCATAGTGGTTCTGACTCATCCCAGGCCCAATTTGCTGCTTACTGGAAGCCAGTGCTGTCCATGGATGCTAATTCATGGCAGCGATGGCTGCACATGCATCGCCTGGTGCTAATCCTGGAGCATGACACGTGAGTATCCTCAGGGCCAGGGCCATGGCTAGGGTCAAGGAACAGACTGGGGAGAGGAGATGATGAGACGCGTACCAACTGTGGCCAAGTTTTCCTGTTTATCAGCCCCCATGACCTCAGGCAGTCTAGGAGAGAGAGTAGTCTGTCCTTTCCCCGAGATTGGGGCTGGAAGGTCTGATCTCATTTTACACCTGTCTCCCTAGACCAATCCCCAAGCACCTTCACACCCCAGGCAGCAACGGGCGCTACAGCACTATCCAGTGCAGGATCTCACACTCCTCACTAACCTCTCTGCTTCGGGACTGGAGCAGCTTTGTGCTGGTTGAGGGCTATTCCTATGTCAAACTGCTCTCCAGGTAGGCAGTGATGTTCCCTCACCCTTCCACACCTCATTCCATGTCTCCTCCTCTAACCGGATGTCAGCCCTACTTCTCTGAAGCCCACTTACTTCCAGCCCATGATTGCTTATTCCCTCCTATTTCTCCCCAGTGCCCCAGACCAGCCCCCATCCTCCTTCTACATGGTCCGCATCATTTCCAAAACCCCGTGCATGGTTCTTCGCCTGGGTTTTCCAATTGGCACACCAGCCCAGGCCCGGCACAAGGTAAGCTGGGCTCAGGTCATGACTAGAGTGTAAATGAGCTGTTTTCTCAACTCTCCTGCTCAGTTGAGAGAGGAACTCCCAGATCAAGTAAGGCTTGAGAAACATGAAAGAAAATTCTGTCTCTTTGTCTGTGGTCCCTTCTTCCAGACATGGAAGAGGTGGGAGTTGGGGATCTGACCATGTTTTCTCTCACAGATTGTGTCAGGCTTGCAAGAAGAGATCCTGCGCCTTCGTTTCCCTCACCGTGTACAAAGTAAGGAGCCAACACCCAAAGTGAAACGAAAAGGGCTGGGGGGCGTTGGTGGGAGCAACTCTCCCTCTAAGTCACCCCCCATGCTGGGGCCACAGCAGGCCCTGTCTGACCGGCCCTGCCTTGTGGTCCTCCATAAGCCATTGGACAAGCTCCTCATCAGGTTGGTTTGAGGGTGGGGAGGTGGCCTAAGAGCATGAGGGAAGGCTGTGAGTGGAAACCAACTGGGGAGCTGCCTTGTCTCCCAGGTATGAGAAGCTACCCCTGGACTACCGGGCACCCTTCTTACTGACTCTAGAGCCACCAGGGCCACTGCCCCTGGTGGCGGGCCGCTCAGCCTCATCTAGCCTGGCATCACTGTCGCGATACCTCTACCATCAGCGCTGGCTGTGGAGTGTCCCATCAGGCCTGGCCCCAACGCTGCCACTCAGCGCCATAGCCCAGCTCCTGTCTGTTCTCACTGAGTACGTCACTGAGCCTGCAGAGCAGCTAAGGCAGGGACAAAACAAGTGTGGACTCTGGGTTTGCACCCTGACCTAAGCCAGACACTACTGAGCAGTTCTTGCTGTTGCCCTCACTCTCTGTACTCCCCAGTTCTGCTTAGTTTGGCCTGTGGTCTTACTTAGACCTTTTGGAACCAATAATCTGGGAAAGCATTTCCCACCCAACTCAGAGCCCAAGACTCTGGAGAACCATTAATCCGAGCAGGTCCCCAATGGACTAGGTTGCCATGACAGCTGCTGGGAGGTAGGTGTTTCAGGGCACCAAACTGAATGTCTCTTCCCTCATCTTACTCTGGTCCTGCACCACCTTTACGGGGTTTCAGAGTCCGACTCTCTGAGGGGTTCCACTTCGCCTGTAGCGGGGAAGGAATCATTAACATGGTGCTGGAGCTTCCAGTTCAGGTATGTGCTGACCCTCCTGATACTGTTCCCCCAAAGACCATGATAACCTCAGGGACACTTGGGCTCTGAGCTGGGTGAGGACTTCAGCCTCACCAGATCAAGGGACCAAGGCCTGAGGCAAGAATGATAAGATGAGAGCCAGGCTAGGTCTCTGCTGGCTAGGATTTGCCCAGGATCCCATGTTTACCCACAGAATGAGCCACTGGGACAGGCTACAGCTGAAGAGAAGCACACATGCGTTGTCCAGTACATCTTGTTCCCCCCCCACTCTACCTCCACCAAAGACAGGTGAGACTCTGATCTCTGGGAGTCACCACTGCACAGTCCTCCTGTCCCCAGGTCACCTAACTGTCTGGCTCCCATACTCTGATATGAGCTCCATCCCAAACCAGAGCAGAGAACTGTTGGGTTTAGATGATGGTCTAGATGCAGATACTCATCTGCAAAGGCCATGTGGCTACCCTCACTGGCCATCTTCTCATCCTCCTTGCCATAAGGCTGTGCATTGGATTTCTTCCAGGCTCAGAATCCTTCCTTCTTTAGCTTCTCAACAGATGATGACAATGATGTGGAGGTGGAGGCCCTAGAGGGAGACTCGGAGCTCAATCTGGTCACTGAGGTGTGGGTTGAGCCTCAGTATGGGCGAGTGGGACCTGGCCCTGAAAGCTGGAAACACCTTCAGGATTTGACCTACTCTGAGATCCCTCAAGCTGTGAGTAACCTCAGAACTGTTCCCTGGCCTCCTACCAAATTGTACCTCATTTGGAGCCTGCTGCCTGTGGACTTCTTGAGAGCCAGAGGCCAAGGCTAGGATAAAATGACTCCTGTCCTCTGGTGTTTGTCTTAGCTCCATCCACGGGATGCTGCCTGTATAGGCTCCCTGCTGAGCTTTGAATACCTGATACAGCTGTGCCAGAGCAAGGACTGGGGTCCTCTGCCCCCAGAGCCACGGGTCTCAGATGGTCAGTGGGGAAGGGATCCAGGGTTGAGAGATGGGAGAAGGCAACCACAGACAGATAATCTGGGTCTCACTGGCCTATCCTTTGCTCCTAGGACTAGACCAAGGAGGAGACACCTGTGTTCATGAGATCCCTTTCCGTTTTGACCTGCTAGGATTGTTGCCACAGTGCCAGCAGCTGCAGATGTTCTTCCTTCTGCTCTCCAGAGGTGGGTGTACTTGATGCCCACTTGCCCTTACCTAAGGGGCCAGCACGCCTGGGCATACTAGAAGATAGAGATCAGATCAGCCAGCAAAGCACGAGTAAGTGATAGGGCCAGGAGGAGGCTTAGGCTAAAAGAAAGACTAATGCTTTACTGGTCAGGGTGGAGCTAGGAACACTGGGCACAGGAGGCTCTCAGTGCTGAGCAAAGTGTGTGTTGGGCAGAGCCAGAGGGTGTCTCTCTCGCCGAGGGGCCCTGTCCCACCAACGACATGGTGCTGTGCCTGCTGCACAGCTGCCTGGGACAAGAGCTGAGTGACCGGGAGATCCCACTGACCCCTACTGACCAGGCTGCCTTCTTAAGTGAGGTCCTGCGGCGGAGCTGCCGTGATCCAGGTAAGCACCCCACCTCTTTCCTAATGCCACACTTCAGTCCTGCCCTTTTCCCCACCCTTAGGATACTTTCTGCCTTTTAGCTCTGGCCTCCTTCCCAAACCTTTCACCTCAGTGCTGGTCCTGCCCTTCTCCACCATCTCTACCCCATTGTAGGTACAGAGGGGCCTCCATTGGGGGGCCATGAGATCCTGAAGGATCAGATGGTCGACAGAACCCAAGCCACTGGAGACTCCGCCCTTCCTGCCCTGGTCAGCACTGGTACTTTTCCCTAAGCCCTTAATATAATATTGGCATCCCTCCACTACCACACATCCATGCCCAGGTTTTCATCACCCTTGATACTGAATGCCTTCTGTCCATGACAGAGTGCTGTCATTTCCCTTTGCCCTGGACCTTTCACACTAAAGCCTGAGATGAGTCAGGTCAGGGTGGAGGAAGGGAATCAGACTTGGAATATTCCCTTGGAGATTGCTTTAATTTTGTTTCTCTCTTAAAGGGTGTGGGTATTCCTGAAACTTGGAGGCCTTCCATCTGTGCCCAGCCCCTTCAGTGGCACTGCTATGCAAGGCTTGTGAGCCCCCAGCATGTGTTTCTGACTTTTCTCCCAGCTACCTTCTCAGGTACCAACAGACCACCTCCCTTGAGTAAAAGCGCAGTGCTCCCTCCCCAACCCACCAGATAGCCCTGATTTGTGTCCCTCTTTTTCTCTTCAGATGTCCAACATCTAGCTGCCTATGGCCTGGAGAGTCCCTTTCAAGAAGAAATAAAACCTAAGCTTGTGGATTGGAGTGGAGGTCCCAGCCTGAAAGATCTGGGAGGAACTGGGGCTAAGGCTACAAAGTCCCAAGTTCCCATCCTCAGTGTAACCCTAGCCAGTGGTGAGGCTGGTATCTGAAGTCAGTTAAGCAGAGTGGAATGGGAAGCCAGTAGAGGGTGGGAAGACTATGAACACCTTTTCCCCACAGATAGTGCCCAAGATGCAGGAGAACCAAGGCCACCCTCCCACCCAGACTTACCAGCTTATCCTGGGCATCAGGCTCCCCAAACAGAGGGTACAGATGGGCCCCGGACCAGGTGTCCTGTCTACATCTATAGCTGTTCCCTGGAAGCACTGAGGGAACAAATGGTTGGCATACAACCCCCTCAAGCACCACGAGATCTCATCTTCCGGTGAGTGCTCTCCATTTTGACTTTTGGCTTTCTCCAACCCAAGTTTGTGTATACTCTCATTCGTTGGACAGGTTGCCAGCAGGAGCTCAGCTTCTTAGTTGTCCTGTTCTGGTTAGCTTTCAATTGCTGTGATAAAAACACAGACCAAAACCAACTTGGGGAGGAAAGGGCCTATTTTTATCTTACATCACCCAGGTTCATCACTGGGGAAGCCAAAGCAGGAACCTGGAGCACAGACCACAGATGAATGTGCTGCCTGGCCTGCTCCCCTGGCCTGTGCTCAGCCTGCTTTCTTATACAACACAGGACCACCTGTGCAGGGATGGCACCGCCCACAATAGGCTGGGCCCTCCCACATCACTCAATAATCAAGAAAATGACCCACAGACATGCCCACAGGACAGTCCAATGGTGGAAATTCCTCAATTGAAGTGCCCTCCACGCAGGTGTGTCAAGTTGACAACTGAAGCTGTCCAGCACAAGTAACTCTTGTCAACTTGACACACAAACATCACTATTAAACCACAACCTTTCCATTTCATACCCCTAAGATCTCATGTTAATATTACAACATAAAACAGCACAACTTTAAAAGTCCCACAGTCCTTAAAAATTCAAACACTCAGGCCGGGCGTGGTGGCACACACCTTTAATCCCAGCACTCGGGAGGCAGAGGAAGGCAGATCTCTGAGTTCAAGGCCAGCCTGGTCTACATAGTGAGTTCCAGGACAGCTGGAGCTACAGGGAGACCCTGTCTCAAAAAGAACAAACAAACAAAAAAATTCAAACACTTGCTGGGCAAGGTAGTGCATGCCTTTCATTCCAACACTTGGGAGGCAAAGGCAGGCAGATCTCTGTGAGATGGAGGCCAGCCTAGTCTACACATTGAGTTCCAGGCCAGCTGTGGCTATAGACCCTGTCCCAAAAAGACCAAAAAAAAAAAAAAAAAATTCAAACATTTTATAAAAGCCTCAACTGTGGGCTCCTGTAAAATCTAACTTGTAAAATCTACAAGTTAAACACTGTCTTATTTCAAAAGAGAAGAATTAGGCACACTTAATCAAAACAAAAGTCCAGGAAAGTAGTTCAAGGCTGAACAATTGGAATTCACTCAGGATTTTCTGGGCTCCAAAGGACTGGGCAGTTCCACTTCTCTGGCTCTGCTGTCCACAGCACACACACACAGCTTGTCTCCTAGGCTCAGGCCAGCTCCATTCCACACCTGCTGCTGCCATTTGTGGTCATCCCATGGTCCTGGCATTTCTAATATGCTGGGGTCTCCATTACAACTGAGGCTGCACCTTCACAAAGGGCCTCTTCTGACCTCACACACTGCCAAGCCTCAGATCCTCTCCATGATCCCTTCATGCCTTCAAAACCAGTACTGTATAGGAGACTGACACATTACCAAGTCCTGCTTCTAGCTTGAGATAGAGCCTTAGGTACCTCTGGAGCACAGCTTCTATGTACTGACCCTTAGGAAATACTTCCCGAAAAATTTCCGTGATGCTGATCTCTGGTTACAGCTGATTTTCAGCCCAACTAATCAGCATCGGTTGTCCCAGTAAAGCACAAAAGGTTTCACTTCCAAAATTTAATTCCACACAAAACAGCCCTGAATGGAGTCTTTGTTTCCCTTTGAACCTTCATATGCCAGGCCTCTGTCATCTCCAACTCATTCAGCATAACTGTTTCAAGTTCCACAGCAGCAGCTCACTAAGCTGAGCTTTCCAAACCCTTCCACAATCTTCCCCAAAACAACATGGTCAGGTCTGTCTTATAGCAGAACCCTATGACCCTGATATCAACGTTTGTTCTAGTTTGTTTTCAATTGCTGTGATTAAGAAACACTGACCAAAACCAACTTTGGGAGAAAAGGGTTTATCTTGCATCTCCCAACTCACAGTTCATCACTGGGGGAAGCCAAAGCAGGAGAGCTCAGGGCAGAAACCTGGAGCACAGACCGTGGAGGAGTGCTGTTGACTGGCTTGTTCCCCTGGCCAGTGCTCAGCCTGCCCAGGGCTGGCACCGCTCACACTGTGCTAGGTACCACATCACTAAGAAAATCAAGAAAATGCCCACAGGCCAATCCAATAGAGAAAATTCCTCAGTCAAGGCACCCTCCACCCAGGTGTCAAGTTGACAGCTGAAGCTATCCAGCACAGTTCCTCAACAACTTGGTCAAACATTCCTCCTCATAAATGTGTTTGCAAGAGTCTAGATGTTCCATTGAAGTATGGTAGCTGATGAGGCCAAGGTATCATTTAGGAAAATTAGCCAAGCTGGTTTTCCTCCCACTCCTAGGACTCAGTTTCTAGATCATTCCTCCTCATCCTCAGTCTGGATGGAGCCCAGGTACAAAGAGGCAGCCACCCACTGTGCCTTGCTGCAGGAGCACGCACAGCGGTGCTATGTCCGGGGTGAGCAGGCATGCCACAGAGGAAGGAGTGTGGCTGGTGGGGGTGGCAGGGAGAACAGAGGTTACAGGGGTGGGGACTGGAAGGGAGAACTGTTGCAGAGCTGACCCTTGTGGCCCCATCCCCTTCCATTAGGGCTGTTCCGAAGCTTGCAACAAGCACAGAGCGTGACCTGCCAGGACTTGCTGACTGCAGTAGATGCGTGTGAGGAGCTGTTACAAGAAGTAGACATCACTTCTTTCCTGCTTGCACTGTGTGGCCATACTTGGGGTTTGCCTCACCCACCCCCAAGCCCTGGTCCTCTCAGTCCAGGGCCCTTCAGCAGTAGCATCGAAGAGGGACCAGAGCCTCGGGAACGAGCCATCCTGGTTTCTGAGTCCAGGTTAGGATGGTTCTTGAAGGTGTTGAGTCAGGTAGTGGGCAACTCATGAACCAAGTCCCTGCAAAGACGACCTTGCAGTCCACCAAAAAAGCAGTGGTGCCTTGTCACTGGCTTCCTGTTGCCCATGTAGTCTTTGTCCCGTGTGGCTCTGGCAACAGTCTCTCCTGTAGTGAAGTGCCAGGAATAAAAGCAGAAGTTTGTTCTGATGGCTTCCATGTCTGTAGTAGCAATCTCACCAACTAATTGCATGCATCAGTCTAGCCCAAACTTGCATTTGTTCATTACTGAACCCCCACATTAGGGTTCTACAGGTTGTTGCTGCAGGGAGGACTGGAGAGAAGGACAGAGGCAAGCAGGCAGACTGCTCTGTCAGCTTCTGCAGCATGTTGCCTTTGAGGAGAGACCTAAAGTAGTGGTACTGAGGAGTCCTGTGTCAGGGTGCCGCCCTAGCCACTTCTCTGGAGCCTTAGATCCCCCACTTTTCTTGCCTCCCACCAAGGGAACGCATTTGCTTCCCCACAAACTATGCTGCCCTCCCGGTCTTTTCCATTAATATTGGACAACACCACCTTCCCACTCCTTGGTACAAGTCAGAAAAGTGGGCTCACCATTACTCTATCACAGAAATGGCTGAACCTTAAGAAATATGGAGGTTAGAGCCCAAAAGGGAAGGATTGGTTGTCATCACCAAGCCATTGTGCTGACATCCTATAGACAGAGACAGGCATGTGCTGCTTCCCAGTTAGGAAACAGACACCTCTAGTACTTACTTGGTTGTTCTTGACAATGATAATGTTCTTTCCAACCCCAACCGCCCAGTATAGAGACTGAAGACCTAAGTGAGCCTGAGTTTCAGAGCACCCGTGTCCCTGGAAATCCAGACCCTGGCCTGGAGATCTCTCTGACAGATGTCTGCCAGTTCAAAGGAGAGGCACACGATGCCCTTCACAACCTCATCCAGGTGGGAACTTGGAGGAAGGCAGAAGAGAGTAGAATCCTGCTTGTCAGCTGACAATATTCTTCCTGGGTTGAGAGTATTCATATCTTGGTCTAGTGAAGGAGTGGTGTCCTGTAAGGGGTGGCTGACAAGGTAACCTTATTGACCCTATAACAGGAGAAGTTCCTGGAGATCAGCCGTCTCCACTTCCGCACAGTGCCCTCCAATCCTCACTACTTCTTCTATTGTCCTCCATCCAGCAGGCGAGAGGTAAGAAGCTTTCTTCCTTCTTTTCCCTGTGCCCCAATCCAGAGGCCCTACCTGGCCTGTTTGATTCCCAGAGGCATAGATGTGGCGTTGTCCTGGCACTGGTCCTGCTTGGATCAACTCTTTTTTTTTTCCTTTGGCCCAGGATGAGGGACCACGAGACTGCCCAAACCCGGGGCCCTTCCTGGTCTGGTTTGATCCCCAGGGGAATAGATGTGGCGTTGTCCTGGCACTGGTCCTGCTTGGATCAACTCTTTTTTTTTTCCTTTGGCCCAGGATGAGGGACCACGAGACACAATAGACAGAAAAGTCAGTGACCTGGAATTTTCAGAGGCTGAGCTCGTGGGAGAAGAAGGTGTGTGAGCAAGTGGGTCGAGGGTAGCTGCTTCAAACCAGGACTCAGCAGCTCCACTGCCATCCTTTCCTGTTGACCATATGCCATACTTCCCTAGGCGACACATCTGCCTGCTGTGTGGTTACCGAGAGCGACCCAGAGCTGGAGGTGGAATACTGTGAGAGCCGTGAACCAGACCTGGGTCCTGCTGGGCTAGACTCCACCTCACTGTCAGATGCAGACACTGTGAACCCTGATGAAGACTCCTTCAGTATCTTGGGGGGTGACTCACCCACTGGGCCTGAGAGCCTCGTGCATGACCTGCCACCCCTCTTCCTTCACCTCACATGCTCTGTGCGGTTGCGTGGCCAGCACAACTCAGTACCTGTATGCAGCTTGCCCACCTGCCTGGGTGAGTTTGAGGGAGCCTAGAGGAAGGCCAGAGGTCCCAGTATGGCTTGCTTGCCTGCGGGTCCTGGGAGGAGAAAAGGAGGAGAGCCTAGGAGAATGAACTGGTATCAAAATTTGGGAAGCAATACTTTTACCAGAGCCCCCAGCAACCTGTAATTTTCCCTCTCTCCCAGGCCAGGTTCTTTCCAGTCTGGAGGGACCCCCCATTGGAGGCCGAGTTCCCATGAGGGACCTCAGTATCACTCTGGATGTCTTTGTGCTGACCTTACCCCTCGAAGTGGAGCTGCCCCCAGCCTCGGACCCTCAACACCACCGGTGTGGCAGCAAGCTTGGCGGGTTCTGGAGACTTTGAGAATAAGGGAACCTGGGAACTAAAGAGACCTTGAGAAGGCTCTGGGAGGATAGTAACCCTGACTTTGACTTTTGCTCCCACCTGTTCAGGTCAACATCTGAAAGCAGTGCTTCGTTCCCACGGTCACCAGGGCAGCCATCATCTTTAAGGTCAGATGATGGCCTGGGGCCCCCGCTACCACCCCCAGAAGAAGAGAGGTACATCCTTATCCTTCAGCTTTTCCCACTCCCCCTCAGTATTTTTTTCGTTTGGGAAAATGAGTTTAGAAACTTTTCTTCCACTTAGGCACCCAGGACTGTCTAATTTGGCCACACCCCACAGACTGGCTATTGAAACAACTATGAGTGAGGTGAGAGCCTTCTTTTCCCCCATGTAAGCAACACCCTCCAATGCTATAACTGATACCCTTTCAGTCAGATGAGCGAGATGAGGTACTGCTTTATCCTAGGACCTCTCTGAGTCCATAAGACAGAGGATCTTCTAGTACCTTTCGGTTTATGGTTGAGATAACGCCCCAATAAGTAAGGGGTTGCATTCTGGCTGTAGATCCGCTGGTTGTTAGAAGATGAGATGGTGGGAGCACTCCGAAGAGGGGGCATCCCCCAGAGCCCTGCCCTGCACCGGGCAGCTGCCCATATCCATAGCTCTCCAGGACGTTCCACCTGCCTTCGCCAAACTCTTCCACTGAGTTTTGTGTTTGGGCCAGAACGCTCTCTCACACAGTTCAAAGAGGTAAGTTGTCTTCAGAGCACTTCAAGTCTCTTGGGGGGGTGGGCATCATTCCTTAGACCTCAGGTGCAGGACTGAAAGGCCCCCTTAATTTGAATCTATAGAATTACCCTCCTATATGTCTCCTTACCATATTTTTCTGCCCCGCCCTTTTGTCTGATAGCCCAACTCCATGGAAAGTAACCCAACTTCCAACCTTGTTTTCGGCCCTTTCAAACTTTGACAAATCACTAACCCTTTTTTTCCCCTCAGCAGTGGGGATCTTGTCATCTGCTTCCAGAGGTAGTTGGACTGTCAAATGAGAAAGCACAGGGCATTGTGTACAGGAAGGACTGCTCCTGCCTAAACTATGATCTTGGCTCCTGCTCCCTAGGAGTTCCGCCGCCTCCACCTCCCTGGCCATGTACTCCTTGAGGACCCCGACAGTGGCTTCTTCTTTGTGGCAGCTGGCCAACAAACAGACGAGCTCCATGGGGTGCCTCCTTCAGCAGCCTGGACTTGGCACAGCCATGAGGACAGGGCTGAAGGTGTCGAAGGGGAGGTAAGTGACCTAGGGACAGAAGGGTGTAGCAGTGGGTGTGTGAATGGTATCTCAGTTATGATTTCTATCCTTCAGGTCCCGACAGCCAGCCCCCAAGCCCCTGGGTCATTAGAGGATTCTGAAGGCACCCCTCTCATCAGCCTGCCCAGTCTGACACAGGGAGGTAAGAGAAGATGGGTAGCATAGTCTAGGGGCCGTAGCTATCTGTCCCTGCTTCCATTTCTACTGGAAGACCCCAAATGGGATCCAGAGACATTCCAGGCATTTCTCTTCTCTATCCAGGGAGTCATCCTGGGCCTAGCCAAGGACTAAGCCTCATGTCCAGTCAAGGAAGTGTGGACTCAGACCACCTAGGTAAGCTGGGGGCAGGGTAAAGAACTCCAAGCTGATGGCAGGTGGGCTTAGGATTGCATATGAAAGAGGTCTGGGTAGGGGTATCAGACAGGACTTATTTGAAGGAGGCCATCAAGTCTGATATACTTGGTGTTCAGGCTCAGCTAGGGATGAAGTTGAATGTCAACACATTTGATACAGGTTATGATGGTGGCAGCAGTGGCTCAGACAGTGAGGGTCCCGGTGAGACCCTTGGTGAGAAGACCTCCTTCACATTGCCGACTCCATCTGGGCTGGCACCTCCACAGCCTTCACTTTTAGGCCTCCCCGGGCCTTGCCTCCCTGATTTCTGGCTCATTGTCAGGATACTGCAAGATCGTGTAGAAGTGTATGCACATGCACGGTATGTAAAAACCAGGGCCTAACCCCAGTGCTGTTAGCCTCTTTTACCTATTCCCAGAACTACTCTCTCCAGAGTTATTAAAAGTAGGTAAGACTTGGGCTTGAGAACTTTGGTAGGGATCTCAAGGTCAGAGCTCCTGGTCTTTCCCACATCTTCTAGGAAAAGTACATCATTCTTGACTTTGTTAATGGAATTAAAGCTAATGGGAGTTTGGCTTCTAACTGAGCCTTAAGAACATCTACGTCAGAAGAGCTTGAGAGGTTGGTACATAAAAATAAAGAACTGTTGGAGGCTGAGTACTCCTGGATGAGGGCAGATAGACCTTCCTTAAGATCTCTAGGTAGATAGGCTGACTAGACTCCAGTAGATGAACTTGCACCGAAGGACATCTGTGTGTAAATGCTTGAGTGGATAGGACTTAGCATGTATGTTGGAATGATGAGGCCTGGTGGGGGGTGGGGTTGTGGGGGCATGGATGGGGAAGGGGTGTCTAAATTTGATTAAGACCTGTTGTATGCAATGTACAAAAGCTCAATAAAAATATTTTTGAAAAAGAAAGGTAAATGCAAAATAAAATAAAGAATAGTGACTGGTATTTAACAAGTACTTGTAATATGTAGGCACTCATCTAGCAAGTACAGGAACCAGCTTATCCACTCTCCATAGTATTTCCCTGATCGTGTGAGTAAAGAAACTCAGTGCAGAGACCTTAAATACTTGCCCTAGATCACAGCAAGTGACAGAGCCAGGACTCGTAGCTAGGCATCTGCTTAAATACCCCATTCTCAGAGGTGGCACAAGAGACAGGAAGACCACTGTCTCTACCAAGCTTTGAGTATGCGTGCCACCTGACAGAAGCCTCAGAGTGCTGCCATGAGGGAGCGGGCAAGGCAGGCATGGAGCCTAGGCTTCCAGAACTGCTAGAGGTCTATTTTCCTCTTTCCCATGAAGTTCACTTCCTGTGTCCATTCCTACCTCTTTTTTATGGTTTCCTTTGGCCCCATGACCTAACATTTCCTCCCCACTGCAGTTCTCTGTCAGATCCATCCTTCCTTCCTAGGAGCCTCATTCGGGAGGATGGGGGACCTGGCACAGAATGTCGCCACCTGCAGCAGCTCCTGGTAAGGAGAGTTGGGGAGATCTGCAGAGAGGTCAATCAGGTAAGTCAGCCAGGGGCAGGGCTCTGGGGCACTGAGGCAGAGCAGATAAAGGAAGGATTTCTAAGAACTGGACTTCCAGACTCAGACTAGAGGGCTCTCATTCCCTATCAGTGACTCTGAGATATTCTGTCTGTGCACTGTGATGGGAATGCAATGAGAACCAGACACAGGGAAAGCCTGACTCTGGTACTTATGTAGAGGGGGTGAAATAGACATTGAACAAGTATTATACAGTTACTTCAACAGAAGAATTCTGTGGAAGGAAAAACAGAGGCTGCTGTGAGAGCTCATGACTGAGCTCTGACCATGGAAGCAGCTGGGAAAGGCTTCTTGATGAAGCAGTTTGAAGTTGAGAACTGAAAGATGATGAACAGATGCTGACAAGGAGGGGAACATGCTCCTCACTGGGTTTGCTTTCAGAACCCTAGGCTCTTAGAGTGGACACTAGTCTCTCATGAGTGTTCTGATGACTGATGTCCTTTTTCATTGGTGGTAGGCTTTTTGTTTTTTTGTTTTGGGTTATTGTTTGTTTGTTTTTCCACTTTTAGAAATTCTAATTTTTATTTTTGACTCCACAAGATAACTGTCCCTCATGGGCTCATTGTTCTCCACATCAGCTTTCCCCCTCTAATACAAACCACCTGTATCACACACACCACCACCACCCCTACCCCCCATTGTCTACCCCCTCACAAATTGAGCAGTGCCGAAACCACAGACTGACCCGTTGACAAGAAACCTTAGCGCTAGCATTCAAGGTTGACAGTAGGATCAAGGCAGACTCTGGCTGCGTCATAGCCCTCAGTACATCCGTGAATGTACTTCTGGTTTTGTTTATTTTGAGTGGTTTTTTGTTTGTTTGTTTTACTTTTTTAAAAACATTTTATTTATTATTTTTATCTGTATGAGTGTATTGCCTGCATGTATGTAAGTGCACTCATGTAGTGCAATGCCCGCGGAGATCAGAAGAGAGCATTGTATTCCCCTGGAACTGGAGTTACAGATGGTTGTCAGTCACCATGTGGGTGCTGGGAATTGAACCCAGGTCCTCTACAAGAGCAGCCAGTGCTCTTAACCACTGAGCCATCTCTCCAGCTCCAAAAATAGTAGTATGTCCTTCAAGCCAGAATCAAAAAGCGACCTAAGGACATCTCCTGGGAGGAGGTGGGGGGTAACTGTAGTCCTCCACTCTACCAGCTGTGCTATTAAAGGGACAACATTTTAAAAATTTATTTGTATTATGTTTTGCCTGCATGTATGTAAATACACGCATACATGCAATGCCCGCAAAGGCCAGAAGAGAGCTTCAGATCCCCTGGAACTGGAGTTGTGGACAGTTGTTAGTCATCATGTTGGTGCTGGGAAACAAACTCAGGTCCTCTGCAAGAACAACGAATGCTCTTAACTGCTGAGCCATCTCTCCAGTTCCAAGAGCAAATCTTTTTTAACACGTAAAATTTGAGATGGCAAATATTAAGTAGTTAGATATTGAAGTTTAGAGCTACAGAAATAATTTTGGCCTGACATAAACATTCCAGATCATTTACAGCCACCACCAGAATGCCATGCGTGGTAGTGCATGCCTTTAATCCTAGCACTTAGGAGGCAGAGGCAGGTACTATTTTGTTTTGTTTAAAGATTTATTTTTAAATTATGTGGATATGTATATGTCTGCATGTAGCTATGTGCTTGTGTATGCAGATGCCCTTGGAGGCCAGAAGAGGCTGTCAGACCCCCTAGAGCTGGAGTTACAGGTGGTTGTGAACTGCCCGATGGGGGTGCTGGAAACTGAACTCACGTCCTCTGGAAGAGCCATTTCTCTAGCCTCCTACTTTTGTTTTTTGATACAGTGTGTTATATGTAGCCCAGTCTGGGCTCCTGATACTCTTTTTTTTTTTTTTTCCATTCAGATATTTTTTTTAATTGTTTTTGTACATATTTTACAACAGTTCTTTTTTTTCATATTTTGTTTTTTGGTTTTTAATATTTATTATTTTTATTTTATGTGTATGAGTGTAATGCCTGCATGTAAGTAAGTGCACTTGTATCGTGCAATGCCCACAGAGCTGTGGACAGTTGTTAGCTGCTGTGTGGGTGCTGGGATTCGAACTCGGGTCCTCTGCAAGAGCAGTCAGTGCTCTTAACCACTGATTCATCTCTCCAGCCCCTTATTTGTTATTTTTATTTTATGTGTATGAGTGTTAATGCCTGCATGTAAGTAAGTGCACTTGTATCGTGCAATGCCCACAGAGCTGTGGACAGTTGTTAGCTGCTGTGTGGGTGCTGGGATTCGAACTCGGGTCCTCTGCAAGAACAGTCAGTGTTCTTAACTTCTGAGCCATCTCTCGAGCCCCAATATACAGTTCTTAATTAAATTTAGACCCTCTCCCCGATCCATGCCCCCCACCCCCCTACACCAGACCTTATGTATTTCGTCATACATGCTAAGTCCTATCCAGGCAAGCTTGACTGATGTTCTTTTTTACCTCTGACCTCCAGTAATAGTGGTCATTCTCTATGGCCTTTGATCACTCCTGACCTTCACCCACTCATGAGAAAGTATTTCAGTTTTCTGACACCTTGCTTCTCCTAGCGACTGCTCCTTCAGGACCTTCATGACAGTCATGTGTGTAACTCCCTTCTGGTGGCCGAGAGTGAAGAAGATCTATGGCGCAGCGAGACGCCTTTCCATTCCCGTCAGCGGGCACCACTGCCCAGTGATGGTACGAGCACAGCCAGGAGCCTCCCTCACAGCAGTGCCACTGCCTTTTCTTTTATCCAGACCTCATGTGAGAAGCAAGAGTAAGAAGTTAAGGGTCCCTGCCTGCATTGGCTGCCGCTGGGGGTTCAGTGACTTTCCAGCAGAAGTAGAATAGGAGCCAGCCGACATGGCCAAGTGAAGATAGATAGGTGGGGCAGAGAATAACTGCTCTTTAAGTAACTTAGCAGAGAATGAATATAGTAACTGAAGGAAGATGGAGGCAAGGAATGAACGTTAAGGTTCAGGCTTGAGCATGTTTATGTTCGATAGAGGGAAAGCTAGTAAGGGAGGAGAGATTAGAGAACACCAGAGGAAAGATGATTAGCTTTGGGCTGTGACCTGGCTTCCTAAGGGCATGCCTTTGCCTGGCTTTTTCTTCATACCCAAAACATTCATCTTAACCTGGCAGGGGAATAGTTGGGGTGCAGAGTCTGGAAGAGTGAAAAGCTGGTAGTTCCACAGTGAGAAGACAGGACCAGCTTGAGGTCCAATAGCAAAACTGGTTGATTAGCTCTCCCTCCAGACAGGCAGGCACAGAGCTCCTTTGGGATTCCTAGGATTCTGGTCATGAGAAGGAAGCATGCTAATCTAGTAGAGGTGGTAATTGAGGTTTCAACACTTGGGCTCCCTTCTCCCACTCCTGATGCCCTCTCATCCCAGCTGTAGAAGAAAAGCCCAATCACACTCCTCTTCGCAGTTCTCCCTCTGATTTAAAAGTAAAATCATAAAAAAAAAAAAAAAAAGTAAAAGCTGGACATGGTGGTGCACGCCTTTAATCCCACCACTTGGGAGGCAGAGGCAGGTGGATCTCTATGAGTTCAAGGCCAGCCTGGTCTACATAGTGAGTTCCAGGCCAGCTGGGGCTACAGGGAGACCATGTCTCAAAAAGACCAAAAAAAAATAAATAAAAGCGGAGCACTCCTTATCTCTCAGCGTATCCTGAGATTTTCCTGTATTAAACCAGAAACCCCATAATTGTCAGACTCCCAAGGTTTTGAAGGTAGTTTCTGCAAATTAAGAATGAGTCAGTACTTCCACACTAGGAGTCCTAGCACACTGGTGTGTAAGGCCAGTCGGAACCCAGGCACAGTCCTTTCTCATTTTAGTCTCCATATTTTTTTTTTACCTGAAACCCTTAGCAATAGCATCCAAAGTTTCTGCGCATTCTCCGCTGTAGCCTGTATGTTGCTGACTGTAGTATTTCTGGGAACTCAAACTGCCTCTTTAACCTTCAGAAGGCTCCTTGTTCACCTAGAAACATGACAAGGCTCAAACAGCATTGAACTGTGCCCATGGCTCTCAGTTACTATCACACCACCCCCAGGGCATCTGTCCAGGAGCAGTATCCTCCTGGGGTACCCCAGGGATATCCCCTCCACTCTGCAGGTAGTGTGCATAAGCACCCATAAACTAAAACTAATTCATTCTCTCTCTCTCTCTCTCTCTCTCTCTCTCTCTCTCTCTCCCCTCCTGCTCCAGCTGAGCCTAGAACTTGCTATATAGACCAGACTAGCCTTGAATTCCAGAGATCTGCCTGGGATTAAAGGCATGTGCTACCATGCCCAGCTGCCTTTCGTTTTAATGAGCTACTGTTACAGCTCTCACAGGCCACTGGCAGTTGTTACACTAGGGCCAGAGCCCCTTATCATTGCCTTCAGGACTGCCTCAGGTTTTGGCTTTTCTTGACATCTCTCCTTAACTCCTTCAGGTCTCCTTGAATAGTCCTCAAAAGCCTCTGTACCATAACCTGGGTTCCTCAGAATGTGACTTTGCCTAGCCCTGCCTTGTCACCCAAAATGTTCATCTTTCCCTGGTGGATGGGTAGGCAGGGATGAGGAATCCAAAATGAGGAGTCTGGGGGCAGGGATGCAGGGGCTGGGCCTGCTGCTTCTAACCCATACTACCCTCTCTGCAGATTACTGTGCTGATGAGAGCTGTGCACCCCGAGGATACCTAGCAGCCACGATGCAGTTTGTCCCAGGCCATTTCTCCTGTGATGTTGTATGGGGAACTGTGATCCGAGTCCATTCACGCCTCAAGATGGGACCCAGCATGGGAGTCTCTCGGGGTATGTGATCAGCATGAGCAGTCGGGTGGGAGTGGAAGGTCTAGGGAAGGGAGTTTTCTGAGCCCATGTTACTACTCCAGCAATCCAGGCTCTGCGCTCTGTGCTCAACGCCTTCTCTGTAGTGAACCGGAAAAATATGTTTGTTTATCAAGAGCGAGCAACAAAGGCTGTGTACTACCTTCGGTATGTGGACCCTGAAAAGATGGGTTAAAGATTGAGTCCTTGATAGTGTGGGAGGAGACATGTCCAAAGGCTTTGCTATTACTTCCCAGGCTCCTGGAGACATCCTGCAGTGACCGGCCATGGGACGGGACTACTCTGCCCCCATCCCTAGCTCTGTCCCGAAGCCAGGAACCCATCTACTCTGAGGAAACCTCGGCACGTATCATTCTACTCCCTGTTGCTCCCGTGCCCCTCATGCTTTGCTTCTTGGAGTTAGACCCTGACTATTGTTGTCCCTGTAGGGTCCGCGATCTCCCCTGGACATGGCCTCCAGCCGCAGTTCCGATGCTGCTCGCCCTGTGGGCCAAGTGGACAGACATATCCAGCTGCTGGTGCATGGTGTAGGCCAGGCAGGTAAAGGTCATGAGAGATGTTTCTCTTGGTCTTTCCTGGGCTCCCTCTCATTCTTGGCTGAGCAGGAGCTAGGTAGAAGAAGATAGACTCTGGTGACATTTAGAGGATGAATCTCATAGCTGACTGAGGTGCAGCTTGGGAGGAGGAGCCAGGTGAATGCAGGATAGCTGCTGGTCCACTGACCTAGACTGGGTAAGGTGATGTCACCATCAAACCTGAAGTGTCCATGTATTATGGACCAGGTCTGAGGCTAAAGCTATTACATTATTGTTCATTTTCATTCTGTTGTGATACAACTCACCCAGAACAGCTTAGGAGAGAGTTTATTTCCACTTACAGTTTCCTCCTTGAAGGAAATCAGGAACTCAAACAGGACCTTGAAATAGAAACCATGGAGGGACATTGGTGCTGGCTCATGACGGGCTCATGCTTAGCTAGTTTTCTTATATAACCTAGGACCACCTACCCAGGGATTGGTGCTGTCCACAGTGGGCTGGGCCCTCCTACATCAATTAATAATCAAGACAATCCCCCCACAGACGTGTCTGTACACCAGTCTGATCTGGAAAAATCCCTCAATTGAGACTCCCTTCTCAGAAGACTCTAGGCTGTGTCAGGTTGATGTTAAAGCTAACTAGGACATGTATCTTCTCTTTTAGTAGTTGTGACACACCTCTGAGATTTGTAGTATTATAATTGCCAGTTTTGTGGATGAGGGCATTGAAGATTTTAGGTAAAACTCACATGTCCACAATCATATTGAATAGTTGAACAAAACTAGAAATTTGTGCTGACTCCCTTTAGAGCTAGCATGCATAACTAGATCCAGCTTAATTGCTGTGGTCTGGAGCTTAAGGACTGGCATGAGGATGGCTGGATCTTTAACAATATTCCTACCTTCCTACCATGGCTGTTGTCAAGGTCCCGAAATCACAGATGAGCTGGTGCGGGTTCTGCGTCGGCGCCTGGATGAGGCCACACTGGATGTCATCACAGTCATGCTGGTCCGGAACTGCAAGCTGACACCGGCTGACGTGGAGGTCAGTTGCATCCTTTTCAGACTCAGGTGCTGGTGCAGTTGAGGCTGAAGTCCATGCATTCAGCTCTGTCTCTTCCCACTCTGCAGTTCATTCAGCCTCCTGGGAGTCTCCCTTCAGAGGTGCTGCATCTGGCCCTGCCCCCATCCTGCAGACCCTGGCTTCCTGCTGTGGCCTGGTACCTACGTCAGAACCTACTCACCTTCCTGCATTCTCCCAAGTACACAGACAGCAACAGCCAGAACCACTTTCAAGTGAGATTACCCTCTCCATACTCGTGTGTGCCTCTGCCCTGCACACCCTGATGTAGCTTTTCTGTAGATGGCCCCATTTGTGCCTTTTTCTTTTTAAAAATATTATTTTTATTTTATGTGTATGAGTTTTGCCTGCATGTATGTAAGGGCACCACATGCGTGCAAAGCCTCTTTTTTAACTTTTTAATTTATTTTATGTGTGTGAGTGTAGTGCCTTCATGCATGTTAAGTGCACCCATGTCATGCAATGCCCCATGGAGGCCAGAAGAGGGTGTCAGAGCCCCCAGAACTAGAGTTCTAGACGGTTGTTAGCTACCGTGTAGGTGCTGGGATTCAAACCTGGGTCTTCTGCAAAAACAGCCAGTGCTCTTAACCACTGAGCCATCTCTCCAGCCGCCACATGTGCCTTTTTCACCCTCCCGCTTGTGTTTTCCTGAGCTGTCATGCATACCTGTACCCTCTTCCCCACTATGGAAACCTGTCTTAGTGCCCTGTGGCTCTTCTCTCCCCAGCATCCACTCCCACCACAGGGTGGCCTCCCTGACTTGGACATCTACTTGTATAACAAGCCTGGTGGACAGGGCACTGGGGGCAAAGGTACAGTACAGGGCTTGGGCCTACACCAGATGTAGGAAAAGCTTTTCTCACCTTGAAGCTAGAGGGCCTTCCAACTTTAGCTGAGGAGGATTCTGGGAGGGGAGATCTACAAGTGCTGGATCTGAGCCTAACTGGATTTCTCTCTAGGGGTTGCCTGCATCACTCTAGCCTTTGTGGATGAAAGAGGGTCCCCCATCTCACTGGCATTATGGCCCCCTTCTCCGGAGCCACCAGAGCCATTACGAGAGGAGGAATTTGAGCAACTGACTCAGGTCATTTGTTGTCCAATCATGGGCAGTTCTTCAGGTAGGACAACCTGTCAGGATAGTGTTTCAGTCAGTGCTGTGGGAGGCAAGAGTGTGAGTGGGTGGAACACAACCACAGGTGACCTCCATTCTTTCTTCCAGCTCAGAATGGGGCCCCAAGGCTTCGACTGGATGTTTGGGAAAAGGGGAACATTAGTATCGTACAGCTGGAGGAGAAGCTCCGGGGCGCAGCTCGCCAGGCCCTGGCTGATGCCATCATGGAGCTGCGTCTACTGCCAGCTTCACTGTGTACAGAAGACATACCTCCAGGTATGGAGGTCAAGCCCCACCCATCACTGGTCCAGAGAATGTCACAGATTGAAGCAGGACCATGTGGTGGACAAGGGTGTAGACATGAGGTTCAGAGAAAGCTTCATTGATGCCCCATCAGAAATAGGTGTTCACGGCTGCCCATCATCTTATCTATGCATCCTCAAGGCATATGCTTGCAGCTGGCCACCCACTTGGGGAGGGAGCTATCCTTGCAAGCACATAAAACCTTATACTATCAGTTTCATATGCTCATTAACAGAATAGGTGGAGACACTTGTGCCAGGCTTGAGGGGAGCTTGTCTGGAGTGGGGATCAGCGATGGGACCCTACAATATCTGGTGTCCACAGGAAGTCTCAGGAGTGTGTCACTGGAAACCAAGAGCCCTACCTGTCGAGCCAGCACCTTTCCTCCTGCCCCCGTCCCTGGGGAGCCCGTGACTCCTCCCAGCAAAGCTGGTCGCCGAAGCTTCTGGGATATGCTGGTAATGGGAGGAAGTGGTGAAGTTGGCATCTGTCTTGTTGCCCACCTCCTCGCTGCTTCAACCCCTCTCCTACAGGCCTTGCCACATAGGACTTCTGAGCTAAAACTGCTCTATCCTTTGGCTAGGTGTTTACAAAGCATGGCAAGCTCTCATTGATGTAGAATCCCAGCTTACTAAATGCCTTTACTTCCATGTTTTTTTTTTTTATTGGATCCCTACAATAACCACAAGGAAGGTGAAGAAAGTTAAATAACCTGCCCAGGGCTGCTTAAGCCCCTAAACCAGGCCTCTGAACCCTCCACGCTCATCTCTGCCCCACAGTGCTTCCATCCCCCCGTTCCTCTTCCCAATAACCCTTCCTCATTCTGTGTTGCCCCTAGAGCAAAACAGAAGGTGGAGATCTAGGTTCCCCGAAAACAACTGATGATATTGTCCTGGATCGGCCAGAAGACACGCGGGGTCGGAGACGCCATAAAACTGAGAACGTTCGAACTCCAGGTGGAACTGAGCGGGCACCAGCCCCGGATTCTGGAGCCCAGAGACAAAGGTATGCGTATGGTATAGTGTTGTGTCAGGGCAGTATCCAGGAACGAAGCTGCGGATGGGTGTTTGGTAAATGTGTGTCATGTAGATGCGAAGTTCTTATTTAGCCCTGCTCTATCTGTAGGCGCCGGACAACACAGCTAGAGGAGGGTGAAGCAGGGACCCTGCACCCTGTGTTTGCTCATGTCATTCAGCGCTGGATGGGATTTATGGTCCAGATTGGTGAGACTCTGGCCACTCTCCTTCCCTCAGTCCTTGGCCTGCTCTCCGTCCTGTAGTCCTGAAGTGACTTCTCTGCCTTCCAGGTTGCGCTTCAGTGTCCAGAAGCTCCACACACATGGTGTCCCGGTTCCTCCTTCCATCTGTCTTGTCTGAGTTCACCGCTCTGGTCATCTCAATGGCTGGAGACACCAGTGTCCGTGTCTTTGAACAGCATTTGTGAGTTTGAGAACTAGTGGGATTGAAGGGGCCTTCCTAGAACCCTAAAAGTTGGCAGCTTGTAGTAAGCCAAATCTGTGGTGGCTAAGCTAGGACAGGTAGGTACTAGGCCTAGGGCGGTAAAGGCTGAGCCAGAGAATGGGGTGGGGGATTGTTTCCTTCTTAACCTGCTTCTCCCTCCCAAAAGGGGCTCTGAACCAGGCATCTTCAGCCCTTGCTCCCCTGGACAGCTGGGCCCAGCTTCCCGCCCAGCAGCTGCGCGGCACCTCTTGCTTCTGGGAAGGAACTTTGCACAGTGGAGGAGGCCAACCCAGCAGGGTAAGGGTGGGTAAGGGAATTCTGAGCTAACCTTGCAGAGGGAAAGGTACAATCTGGGGATCAGCCTAAAGCCCCCCACCCCATTGCATGCCTCCCATCCCTGTAGCTGCCAAAGCTGTGCAACGCTTTGAGTCAGGAGGTGATGGAAGCCCAGGGCGAAATGCTCCCCGGCAAAGACTTTTGCTACTAGAGGTCATGGACAAGAAGGTAAATTCGGGTAGGGGTAAGTGGGGGGAGGGGGAGTTCTTTGACCTCACTGACCCTGACCCCTGACCTCCAGCTTCAGCTACTGACCTACAACTGGGCTCCAGACCTGGGTGCAGCGTTGGGCCGAGCACTGGTCCGCCTCATACAGTGGCAGAATGCACGGGCCCATCTCATCTCCTGCCTGCTCAGCCAGAAACTCGGGCTCTTCCATCATTGTGGCCAGCTGGACTTCCCAATGCGAGATGGAAAGGTGCCTACTACGTAGCTAGCTCCCTCTGCTAGTTCTGGCCACTGAGCGGTCAGTTAAAGGAAGCAGGGGAGAGGGGACAAACAGGACAAAAGTAGTAGGGGAGAGAGAAGGGGTTCAAATCTGAGGCCCCGAGCCCACTGTGTAAGTCCATCTCACTCAGGAGCCAAACCCATTCCTGATGCCAACCATGGAAGTAGAAACCCTCATCCGGAATGCAAGCCCTCCACTGAGCCGAGAGCAGGGCCGGCTGAGTGGGTCCTCTCGTGGTGGTGGTCCCCTTCCCCTGGACACATTCCCCTTCGATGAAGCCCTGAGGGACATCACGGCTGCCCGTCCCAGCTCCACAGTTGGTCCTGTGCCCAGACCTCCAGATCCTGTCACTTACCACGGACAGCAGTTCCTGGAGATCAAGATGACGGAGCGCAAAGGTGAGGACTGTGGGCCAGGCAGGTGGGGTAGGAAGAATCTGTGGAGGCTAGAAGGGAGAGCAAGTTAGCTGCCGGGGTTACTACTGATGCCTCCCATCCCCAGAGCTGGAGCGCCAGTTGAAGATGGAGAACCTGTTTGTAACCTGGCAGCAGCGATCTGCCCCAGCCAGCATGCCCATCAGTGTGAGTAAGCCCCATCTGCATCCTCCACAAGGGTCTTGTGGCCCTTCCCCAGCTACTGCTCCAGTGCTCATTTCCCTGTGTCCCCAGGCTGGCGAGCTGGAGACCCTAAAGCAGTCATCCCGCCTGGTGCATTACTGTGCAACAGCACTGCTCTTTGACCCAGCTGCCTGGCTTCATGGACCCCCAGAGACCTCTGCACCCTCTGAAGGGCAGGTAAGGCTCACAATTTCTCTTCTGAGACCTCTACCCAACAGTGGCCTCCACTTCACCCCCACAGGGTTGTCATGAGATAGAACCTTAATTTCCACTCCCACAGTGGCGCCATCGCCCCGAGTCAGGGTCTGGAGGCCGAGAAGCTCCCACAAGCTGCGAATCCTTGGATGTGCCTCTGCCAGGAGCCCGTGAGGAGCCATGGCTGAAGGAGCTGAGCCTGTCCTTCCTGCAACAATATGTACAGTATCTGCAGAGCATCAGCTTCGTGCTGGTACCGCTGCGGCCCCCCTCGCCTGCCCGCAGGTGAGCCCACTCCTTCCCTACCTACTGCTCCACTGCAAAGAGGCCCTTCCCTTCCCTTCATACAGTTCCTGCTTTGACACTTGAGTTTTGTACATGTTTGTCTTACTGGCACACATACATGAAGATCTTAGACACTTCATGCAGCCCTCATGCGTGTCCTATAAACCTCATGAGGTTGGTGGAATTCACAAGCACATCTACAAACTATTATCTCGCCAAGCTTGTGCCCACCCACACCTCGTTTGTCTACATGACTGTGTGTAACATAGATGTGGATCTCATATATGCACCTAAGCCTTTGGGTTTGGGGCTTGTTGATGCCTGTCCTGGTCATCTGTTGGCCTCTCCACCCAGGATGATCCTGTTTTCACCAGGGTGCCCTGCACTGGGCCTGCCTGCATCCCTGCATGGCCTGCTCTTCATCAGGCTCACTCTAGCCAGTTCTGATGGGCCTGGGTCCTGGAAAGAGCCAGCCCTCTGTTGCCACATGCCATCAGTCCTGAACTCAGGCAACTCTGTAACGACCTTTCCCATCCTACATCAGACTTCAGAGTCCTGTGTTTGTTTTCGATGTTAATCATGTTTACTTAGGGGTGTCATACGTGTGCTACAGCCCTCTTGTGGAGGTCAGAGGACAACCTGTGGTACTCAGTCTCCTTTCACCATGTGCATCTTAGGGATTGAACTCAGGTTGTCAGGCTTGGTGGCAAGTGTCTTTACCCACTGAACAAACCATCTTGCCAACCCCCAGAGTCTGTTCCCCAGCGGCTGTATAAGGAAAAAAAGATCTCACGATACACATATTTCTTTTCTTTTTTTTTATATTTCCTTTTTTTTATTTATATTTTTATTTTATGTGTATGCGTGTATTGCCTGCATGTAGGTAAGTGCACCTGAGTCATGCTGTGCCCACAAAGGACAGAAAAGGCTGTTGGATTCCCCTGGAACTGGGGTTATGGACAGTTGTTAGCTGCCATATGGGTGCTGGGATTCGAACCCGGGTCTTCTGCAGGAACAGCCAGTGTTCTTAACCACTGAACCATCTCTCCAGCCTCAATATTTCTTTTCATGCCTTCATATTTGTAAGTTTATTGAGGCATATTCTCTGTTTTCAAGTAGTTTTTTTTTTTAATTTCTGAAAGAGGGTTTTGTAGCCCCAGCTGGCCTGGAACTTACACAGATCTGCCTGCCTCTGTTCCCGAGTGCTGGAATTAAAGGCATGCACCACCACTTTTAAACACAAAATGTAATCCTCCCTTACTCAAGATACCACTTTGGCCCAAAAAAGCCAACTTGGACTCTTTGGGCATCTTACAGCTAGCTCTCTACTCCCACCCCCAAATTTCCCCCTTTTTCCCAGCATTAGGAACAGAAGGCATGCCCACATCTCCTGAGATTTCTTGTCCCACCAGCCCCCACCCCTGTTGTTCAGTGGTCAGGCAGCCCCTCCACAGTCCCCCAAGGAGGAGCTGTTAGCCTGCTATCCCAGATGCCCAGTGCTTGGTTTTAGGAACTTTTCTAAAAGACTGTAGTTTATATCTCCCATTCAGTTATGCTCTTCCCCAAATCTGAATTCCTTTTTATAAAGATTTTTTTTTTTTTTTTTTAATGTTTCTGAGACTGGAGAGATGGCTCAGTGGTTAAGAGCATTTACTGCTCATATAAAGGACCCAAGTTTGATTCCTAGTACCTACCTCGGGCAGCTCATAACCATCTATAACTCCAGCTGCAAGGGATCTGATGCCTCTGACCTCACACACTCATATGCACAAACCCATACACATACATTATTTTTGTCTTTTTAATATTTTATGTGTTTGAGTGTATTGCCTGCATGTATGTGAGTGTACCCGTGTCGTGCAATGCCTCGAAGGTCAGAAGAACACTTCAGATTCCCCTGGAACTGGAGTTAAGGATGGTTCGTAGCCACCATGTGGGTGCTGGGAATCAAACCCAGGTCCTCTGAAAGAGCAGCAGTGCTCTTAACCGCTGAGCCATCTCTCCAGCCCCCATACACAAAAATATTTCTAGAACATAATTTAAAGTCAAGCATTCTTTCTTGCCAATCTTTAATGATCCCAATTTCCTCAAGGATTAAATGGATCATTTCTTCTACCAGAAAGTTAGTTCCATAAAGATGATAGCCCCAGGAAGTACCCACTGCAGGTGGTAGGTAGTAACAGGATTGCCGGTGTTCTGAGTAGCATAGTGAGTTCACTGATCCTAGACTGACATCATTAAAGTCAAGAATCTAAAAGACTTCCCCCAGCTGGTTCAAGGCTGATAAGCCCAAACACTTGCCCCCTTCTTCCTTTCTTCAAGCACGACAACTGCCCATACTACCTACCACCTACCCAGCAAGCATCTGGCATTTAGAACTCCGTAGTGTAATGAATGAGACCTACCAGCTCTTTCAGTTTTCATCTTTTCATGATTCTTTCCAGCTTCTCTCCCCTTGGCTCTGACTTAAGAAATAAAAGGGACTGGAGAGATGGCTCAGTGGTTAACAACACTTTCTGCTCTTCCAGAGGACCTGAGTTCAGTGCCCAGCACCCATGTCAGGCAGTTTACAACTACCTGTAACTCCAGCTCTAAGGGATCTGATACCCTTCTGGCCTTCACAAGCAACTGGATACATGTGGCGTACATTCAGATACACATGAGTAAAAATAAAACTAAGTCTTTATAAAAGAAGGGAGCTTGGAGAGATGGCTCCGTGGTTAAGAGCACTGGCTGCTTTTGCAGAGGACTCGGGTTCAGTTCCCCGCACCCACATGGCAGCTAGTACCTGTCTGTAACTCCAGAGGATCTGACACACTCATCTGACTTCCAGGGACATGTGGTACATTTACATACATGAAGGCAAAACACATACACATATTTTTTTAGAAGAACAGTTGACATATGAAGTGCTGGGAGTATCATTCCCCAATCAAAAGAGAGCTGCTTTTCCCTGTTAAAGGAAGCATCCAAACCAAGGCATCCGGCATCTCCTAATAAAATCTTAGATTTGCATCATCTTCCTCCCTCCCTCTCTAGGCCTACTGTCCCCCAGCTAGTAGAGAAAGATGCCTGGTCCCTGCCTCCCCACTGAACCCCTGCTCCTAGACTCCAGGCCCAGTCTCACTGTGCAACCCTGAGCAAATCCTTCCTACTGCAGACCTGACTTTTGTCTTGAAAAACACTTCCATGTAAATTGGTCTGGTAGCCATAGTTCTTCAGTCCCTGGCCTCCTTCATCTAGTCTCTCTTCCTTTTCTACAGCACCAGCCGGCTACGGGCTATGGCTATACTTGGAACAGAGGGCCGCAGCTCCTTCTCCTGCCCTAAAACCAAGACTGAAGGGAGCCCCAAGGTAACTCACTGTCTCATAATGATGTCAGCAGTTACAGTCCTATTCCTAAAGTCAGTGACCCCAGACTGACGTGATTAAAGTCCGGAATCTGAAGGACTTGCGCTCTTGCTTCAAGGCTAGTGATCCCCCAACAATGCCTTTTCCTTTGTTCAGAGCACTGGCACACCAGTCACTACCTACCACCTGGAGCGGGCACTGCCTGGGGGTATCATCCTCATAGAGCTGACTTTCCAGGTGAGAAGGGGGCACTTCATGAGAAGAGCCAAACCTACCTGTCTCACCCTCCTGACCTTATCTCACCTCTTCAGGGCTGTTACTTCTGCGTCAAACAGTTTGCCTTGGAATGTTCCCGAATCCCAATGGGGCAGGCTGTCAACTCTCAGGTATGTGGTGGGGATAGTACTATGGAGTGGACACAACTCAGGCACAACCAGTGCAGCCCCAGGGTGTGGTGGGCACTGTGGCTCCATGAACCATGTAGTGGGTGTTGTAGCCCAGTGATTATGGACCAGGTGCTGTGACTGGACCATTTACCTGTCTGACCCTGGGTGGTCCAAAGCTGCATTCAGCTGTAGCACTGAGGCAGAAGGCAGGCTAGCACAGAGATGGGTCGTTCCCTGTGCTGTATCACACCTGTGCAGCTAGCACAGTGGTCATCAATAACCATGGTAGACTGTGAAGGCATTTGAGCACAGTGGCTAATGTGACACATTGGGTTAGTGCCATGCAAGTGATGGTCTGATGAGAGCTGGGGACAGTAGGATTATCTGTGTACTCACCAGTACGGTACCCTGGCACCCTGTTATTTATGTCCTTGTCAGTCTGCTTCAAGGTAGGCCCCTGGTACCCCATAATCTTCCCTGGGCTCTCTCTGTTCCTACATACCTAACCTCTAACCCTGCTCAGGATTGTTTCATTTTGGTTTTTAAGATAGGTCTGCATAACTCAGGCTGTTCTGGAACTCACTATATAGCCAAAAATGACCTTGAACTCCTTATCCTCGTGCCTGCACCTCCCAAATGCTGCGGTAGGACCCCTGCTCGTTTCCAAACTGCTTCAGAGTGCGTTTTTCATTAAGTGCTTAGCGTCTACTAAATGAAGGGGAGCAGTCTACTCCTACCCATATAGATGAGACTGAGGTTCACAGAAATTAAGTACCTTTTGTCCTGCAACAGGCTTGCTAATCAGTAACAGTCTAGGCTTCTATAATACTGATCTCATCCTTGTTTGTTTCAGCTCATCACATGCCTCTGGCCTTATGAGATCTGTGCATTATCACCCAGGTAGATGAGGAAGCTGAAGCATAGAGAGATTGTGGCTTACCAAGGTCATACAGTCTGGCTCCTACAATTCTGTTTCCTTTTCAGTTAACTCCTAATATTCCCAAGTGTCCAGATAGATTCTGTCATCCCAACTCCACATATTCTATTGTTAACACTGTCAGCAATGGGGAGTTCTATTAGAAGGGCCTGCTTCTTATCGCTGCCCTTGTTCCCACCTTTCCTTCTTGCATCAGTTCATTCAGCCCTGCAGGCATGCAGACTCAGTCAGAGGAGGCCCACTCCAGCCTGATGTTCTAGAGGAAGCTTTAAGAGTAGAGGTGCTGGGTGTGGTGGTGTATTCCTTTAGTCCCAGCACTTGGGAGGCAGAAGCAGGTGAATCTCTGTGAGATTGAGTCCAGCATAGTCTACATAGCAAGTTCCAGGCCAGCTAGCGCTACAGGGAGACCCTGTGTCAAAAAACAACCCCCTCCAAAAAAACAAAATAAAACCAACAAAAAATGAGTAGAAGTTATGCCCTAGTCCAGCCGATCAGCATTCCAGGCAGAGGGCACACAGATACCAAGTGCAGAGGAGAGAACATGTGTTGTCCTTGGGAAGGGCAGATGAAAGCGTCCTAGTGGTGAGTGCACACTTGGCCTTCTCTGGCCCGCACCAATCTTCTCTAACATCATCTTCTAACGTCCTCTGTAATTACTCATTCCGTGTGATGTTTAGCATTCCATCTCCCACAACTAGACTGTAAGGTTCTTGAAAGCAAAGATTTGTTTCCCAGCACATGGAACAGTCACTGGTGGTTGTGGTAGACCAGGAGCAGACCTTTGCTCTGTTGTGGTTGTGTCTGCCTCTATAAGACTAAAGAGGCCTGGCTGTTCAGGTGGCCCCAGATCCACATAAACAAAAGAGGTGTAACATCATATGAAAAAGTGTTTCCCATTGAGTCTGTGCTGGCTGAGGGGGTTCCGCTGAGACTATAACAACAGTGGTATGCTGTCAGGCTCCCTCTGCCTAGGAGGGAAGTGTGGATCGGGCAGCCTCGGTTCCCACACCCTAACCCTGCTCCCTGCTGCTCCTTCCCAGCTGTCCATGCTATTCACAGAGGAGTGTGACAAGGTGCGTGACCTGATGCACGTGCACTCCTTCAGCTATGATTTCCACCTGCGCCTTGTACATCAGCATGTGGTCGGTACCCACCTGGTACTGCGGCATGGCTACCACCTTACCACCTTCCTGCGACACTTCCTGGCCCACCACCCTGATGGACCCCACTTTGGCCGCAATCACATTTACCAAGGTCGGTGCCCAAAGACAAGTTGGTGAGACTAAAATACAGACCAGGTGGTATCACAAGTCCAGGCCTGGTGGGACCATGTTAGTTGTTCAAATCCCTCATGCCACATCCCCCATGCTTTCAGTCTATGACTATGTATTTCAGTTTGTTTCATACCGGAATTGCCCTGTTTTGAGCATTTTTATCCCATCTCAAGTGTTCTACAGGAGCTCAGGCGCTCCTCCAGAAAGCAGAGCTTAGTGACTCCCATCCACTGCCCCACCAGATCAGGTTGCTTCCTAGGCTTAGTGTCTGTTGATTCATGTAACTTCCCTTTCAGGGACACTGGAGCTCCCAACACCCCTCATTGCTGCCCATCAGCTATACAACTACGTGGCTGACCACGCCAGTTCCTACCACATGAAGCCATTGCGGATGGCCCGGCCAGGTGGCCCAGAGCATAACGAGTATGCCCTGGTGTCAGCATGGCACAGGTAAGGCCGGAAGGCAGCTTCCAGCACCTACCCTGTAGGGCTGAAGTTGGGGCCACACGTAGAGCACAGAAACATGTTTTCTTGGGCATGAGAGTTGGGACTGGTTTCCTTAGGGCCTCAGAGTTGACATCTCCCCACCCCCACCCCAACTGCACAGCTCTGGCTCCTACCTGGACTCTGAGGGACTTCGCCATCAGGATGACTTTGATGTGTCTTTGCTTGTCTGTCACTGTGCTGCACCCTTTGAGGAGCAAGGAGAAGCTGAGCGACATGTTCTACGGTCAGAACTCTCACCTTGAACGTGCCCATTTCTCAGGCTGCCCAGTTCTACCCATGCATCTCTTGCTGTGCACTCTCCCACTCTCCTGCCCCTTTCCCTCCCCAGGCTGCAGTTCTTCGTGGTGCTCACCAGCCAACGAGAACTCTTCCCCAGACTCACTGCTGACATGCGCAGATTCCGGAAGCCACCCAGACTGCCCCCTGAGCCAGAGGCTCCTGGGAGCTCAATAGGTAGCCCTGGGGAAGCCTCGGGGCTGGTTATAGTCTCTGGGCCAGCACCTCTGTTCCCACCACTGGCTGCAGAGGTGGGCATGGCAAGGGCACGGCTGGCTCAACTGGTTCGGCTGGCTGGTGGGCACTGCCGACGGGATACCCTCTGGAAGCGCCTCTTCTTACTGGAGCCACCAGGGCCTGACCGACTAAGGCTAGGGGGGCGCCTGGCCCTGGCAGAGCTGGAGGAGCTCCTAGAGGCAGTCCATGCCAAATCTATTGGGGACATTGACCCCCAGCTGGTAAGAGACTATGGGTTCCACAAGGGATGGAGTCAGTTCTAACAGCCAGGTTGGAGAACAACAGACTCAGCTGTCGACCCTCCCCCAGGACTGCTTCCTGTCCATGACGGTCTCCTGGTACCAGAGCCTCATCAAAGTTCTCCTGAGCCGCTTCCCCCAGAGCTGCCGTCATTTTCAGAGCCCAGACTTGGGAACTCAGTACCTGGTAAGTCCCATTCACCCCATTCAAAAGGGGAAACTGGCAGAAATCCTCATTCAAGATGACAGAAAACCACTTGGGGAGTCCCAGCCTTATAATGAGTTTTGCCCTATATTGTGGTCTTGATGGAACTGGACCATAGCAATAACTAAAACCTTTGAGCAGTGAGTTCTAGTGCATGCCTGCTGGGGATTAACCAAGAGATCCTGAGGGCAAAGCTCTGGCACTGAATGCCACAGAGCTCTTGGGACTTGAACAGTAGTTTGTCTTGGAGGCTGGAGCCCCAGAAGGGAGATTTTGGGTTTTAATGACTGGTTGCTCAAAGTGTGGTACTCAGACCAACAGCATCAGCATCATCACCTGGGAGCCTACTGAAATGCAAATATTAAGCCTTCCAAACACTGACTCGGGATCTGTGTCTTAGCAGTATCCCCAGACGGTCTGTGTACACATTAGTTTGAAGGCACAACAGTGAAGGACATGTAGAGAGAAAGCTCCGGTGATGAGTATGCACGTGGGAAATTAAAGCGACTAGAAGAGCAGTAGGTGATTCAGGAATAAAGGCGGTCAAGACTGTAAGCAAGAGGACTCGGGAGCCTGCAAGTGACCCTGCAAACAGATTCACTTCTGGCATACAACAAGTTATCCAGAGAAGCCAAGGTCTACTAGGCCAAGGCTGCTATGAGCAAAGGAGCAGTTGAGACACTCCTGCAGTGATAGAAGCAGTAAAGCAGGAGTAGATCGGGAAAGAATGGGGATTTCTTGGGGCAGGTGAATCTGTGGTCCATGAGGTGTGCAGACATTTGGGATCAGGAGAGATGTAGGCCACAGCCATATGAACAGGTGATAGGAAAGCCTTGAGAGGAGGTGAAATCACCCAGTGGTCAAATCTCAAAGCTGAATACTAGGAACAGCTGATATCAAGGCACAGTCAGGAGGGTCATTGATAAGAGTTCTAGGACAGGCTGGACAGATCATGCCTTGGAACTCTCCTTCATAGATTGGCTTCACTGTGCCAGACTCTGGCATGGCCTCTAGAAGCATTCTGAGGGGCCTCTGACAGGCAGGCTGGGGCACACCACCATCCTGAGTGACCCGGGCTTGCAGATAGTCTCAGACATGGTAACAGAAGGACGCCTTGCTCTCCTGTCTCCATTGGAAACCATACAGGAGGGCTCACACTCCTCCAGGAGACATAAGCCTCTCTCCTCTATTTCATCTGTGGCTGCAGGTTGTACTGAATCAGAAGTTCACCGACTGTTTCGTGCTAGTGTTTCTGGACTCACACTTGGGAAAGACGGTAAGAGCAGGGGATGAGGGACTTCATGGAGGCTCGGGGGAGGCTGTGCCCCAAGTGCTCAACCTTAGCCTTGTAAGGTTGGGGAGCCCATCATTCTGAGCCCTGCTCTCTGTTCCATGACCCCCTCTCACCACTGTACCTGCATCATGTTCCCCACAGTCTCTGACAGTGGTTTTTCGAGAGCCCTTCCCAGTACAGCCCCAGGACAGCGAGAGCCCTCCTGCCCAGCTGGTCTCCACCTACCACCACTTGGAGTCTGTCATCAACACAGCCTGTTTTACCCTCTGGACCCGCCTTCTCTGAGGAAGTGGATCGCTGACTGTTGAATCTTGGATCTGTAAGATTGCCACTTGAGGCAAGACTGACTAGCACTTAGCCCCAGGGCAAGTTCACACCCAGAATGACACCAAAGGATTGTGACTGAGTCTGGGGATCTACTACAGCCTGACTGCCCTCTACAAACACAGCTGATGAACAGCTTGGACACCCTTCAGGGCCCTGGGCCCTTCTAGAAGGGGATGCTTCCTTTCTGCCCATCCCAGGGGGCTTCACACCAAGCAGTAAGCAGTTACCCCTTAGAGCTCTGCCAGAGTCCTGCCTCAGTTTGGTCACTGTCAGTCACCTGTACCCTTGGCCCTCTGGTCTTTATTCCCACTTGGCCGTCACTGTTGGACATTACCATTGAGATGAGACACTGGATCCAAATTCTGGCTCTTCCTCTGAAGCACAAGTGACTGGTGTTAAACACCCAGTCCCTCATCCCACCCCCATTCGACCCCTGATTTCTCATTTATAGATGAGAGGGCTCAGACACTCTCCTGTATCTGAACCAACCCTGGCACTGACTAGAGGATCTGAGCATGAGCTCTGTGTCTCTTCTCAGTGAGAGGGAAGCAACCTAGAGACACTGAAGCATTAGACACTATGTGTCACCCACCCCTGTAATATACACATAAGAAAATGCTAAGTGTGTTGATTTTAATTCAGAGGAGACGCCTAAGGACACTCATTCACTGCCCCATAGCAGCAGCAGGTGGTATGCAGAACCTTACTGGCTAGCCCGTGGGTGGCCCCGTCTGTCCCAATATGAACGCAGCCAACTCAGACCCTCCACGGTGTCTCCTGCAGTGAGAGAGAGGCAATGGCATCTCAACCCACAAGAGAAAGAACAGCCCCCATCCAACACCTGCCTGCCC